ATCCAATCTACCATCCTGTCCTCTCCAATCTGTGTTCCTGTCCCCGATTTTGTGGGTGTTTTCTTCCTCCCATCAAATCCCTGCCCTGTCCTCTTGTCAAACACCTGGGGTGCCCTGCTATGTCCTGTATCTTTTGCCCTTTACTCCGATCAACATCCCTAGTATTTTTACCTTGCATGCACTTACTGTTCTGCATCCACCAAAATGAGGTCCTGCTGCATTCTGTGCTTCCCATTCCATCATTCTCAATCCCCTCACCACCTTCCGCTCCTCTTTCATACACCTCTCTCAGTACACATTCCAATATACTTTCACTAATGTATATAAATACAATCATACATTATAAATTAACCCACACTGGTTATACTTCCACACAATGTTTTATGCTCCACCCTGCACTGTACATTACACACTGCTCCAGTCTGTCCACTGTTCTGTACACACTATACTCCACACCACTCCATTCTACATACTGTGCATTAAACCTTATACTCTGTAAAAAAATTAGGTTAATTGTATAAAGCACAGCTTGCCACACACAACAGTGTTTTACATTTTAAACGCTGTGGTATACTGCACAATGATCCACTGCATTACATATTCTACATCACTCAATACTGTACACAGTCCACACCACTCAACTTTATACTCTGTGCTGTAGATTGTGTAGTGTACTCTGCATGTTTAGTACTGCATAATGCGCTACTTACCACAGTTACATATTTAATGCCTTGCTGTAATATACACTATATTACCAAAATTATTGGGACACCTGCCTTCACACGCACATGAACTTTAATGGCATCCCAGTCTTAGTCTGTAGGGTTCAATATTGAGTCACCCCACCCTTTGCCACTATAACAGCTTCAACTCTTCTGGGAAGGCCTCCACAAGCTTTAGGAGTGTGTCTATGGGAATGTTTGACCATTCTTCCAGATGCTCATTTGTGAGGTCAGGTACTGAGGTTGGACGAGAAGGCCTGACTCGCAGTCTCCACTCTAATTCATCCCAAAGTGTTCTATAGGGTTGAAGTCAGCACTCTGTGCAGGCCAGTCAAGTTCCTCTATCCCAAACTCGCTCATCCATGTCTTCATGGACCTTGCTTTGTGCACTGGCACGCAGTCATGTTGGAACAGGAAGGGGCCATCCCCAAAAACTGTTCCCACAAAGTTGGGAGCATAAAATTGTCCAAAATGTCTTGGTATGCTGATGCCTTAAGAGTTCCCTTTACTGGAACTAAGGGGTCAAGCACAACCCCTGAAAAACCACCACACACCATAATCCCTCCTCCACCAAACTTCACACTTGGCACAATGCCGTCAGGCAAGTACCGTTTCCTTGCAACCGGCAAACCCAGACACGTCCATTGGATTGCCAGACAGAGAAGCATGATTCGTCACTCCAGAGAACACGTCTCCACTTCTATGGATTCCAGTGGCGGCGTGCTTTACACCATTGCATCCGACGCCCATCTAATGTCAGTATAGGTCTTCTAAATGACAATTTTACAAACCCAAGTTTGCTGTCTAGTTAACAAGACAAGTGGTAGGCAAAAAATTAAATATTTATTGGAGAGTACTTCATATTCTGAGGCAGGATTCAAACGCTTTTATTATACAGCAATCGCCAAAATATCCAATCTGTTAAAAATCTGGAAGTTAACCTATGGGAGAAAAAAAACAGCAGTATAAGTTTTTTGGTTTTTTTTACATAAGAAAAACATTTTTCTCAAAACTGTTTTGAGAAAAATGAAAACGTGCAAAATAATTCAGCGCAATTACAGCTTTTACTAATTATCCTTTAGTTATAATAAGTTGAGTTTGATTTGCTGATTGCTTAGGGCATGGCACTCTATGGAATACGGGTACTATAAACAATCCACAATTGCTCCCTTTAGCCATACTACTACACACATGACTCAGAGAAATCGGGGGAATTTATCAAAACTGGAGCAGACAAAATCTGGAGCAGTTGCCCAGAGCAACCAATCAGCTTCTCTCTTCAGTTTGTTCAGTTAAGATTTGAAAATTAAAGAGAGAAGCTGATTGGTTGCCATGCACAGCTGCTCCAGATTTTGTCTGCTCCAGTTTTGATAAATTCCCTTCTATGTGTTTAAGTTTCTTCACCGAAAGCCAAAAGAGGAAAAAAATCAGTAGGTGATCCTAATACCTTACCACTACTTTAACTGTACAAGAACAAGGGACTTCTACAAACATTTAAAAAGCATTTCTGTAAATGCAAAATATTTGATATTTCCAGATAATTTGTTTGAAAGTATGGACAAATTAAGACTTAATTTGTGTGAGCAAGGGACTGTCATACAAATCAGGCTGCCATAACAGAATTTTCCTTTTAAAAAAGCTGGTTGGCTGGCTATTATGCTGATCCAAAGCCCTCAGCACTTTTAGTTACTGTCATAGAACAAGGTATGCAAAATCAAGAGTTCTAACTTTCCTTTGACTTCAATACCTACATGCTTGTTCTGGATCAGTTCATTTAGAGTATTGAGTCCAGGGACAGCCAAGCAATTAGCCATTTCAAGTCAGCAGTGGCAGCGTTCACATTTCCTTACAGGTTTACTTCAAATTACTGCTCTTCTTAAAAAGTTCTTTGGGGGAGATGAGGTGTTTAAACACTCCGCTGGTAATGCCAATCTGCATACTTATTTCAAGTCAATAACTTAGAAAGCACTAAAGCAGCATGACAACCAGGGAACTAACATTTTCAGAATATGGTCAGCAATGGCAGCCTACCTATAAATCTTAGTACAGGGTTTAGTTACACCAATATAAATATTTACACACAAAATATGGGGTAGAGTCACCTATATTATCCAAAACAGACAACTTCTTTTAAAAAAAGGTCATGGCGCTTGCAGCTCCAAGCAAGGCAGTAGGAGAGAAAACATCTTGTTTTTACCATACCCTACCTCTCTTCTGCTGTCTCCAACTTCCTGTTCTGCCAGTTTCTGACTTTTTGAGCAAATAGGTCTTACAGCTCTGACAGTGTAATATTGCAGCTTTATTTACTGACTGTGCACCCGCCCACACAGCCCTCTAAGAGCTGCACAACAGAAGATCTATGTTCAATCTCCTCATGGATACCAAACTCCTATTTCCAGCCCTGCGTACTCACTTGCTTTAAGTCAGCACTGACCGTGAGAAAACTGCGCAGACAGGGGAGCAGAGAACTCTCCTGTCATTGCTTTAGGATGATGCAGGACACTAAATAAAGTGCTTACTGTCAGTGCTGTACCACAACAACTACAGTGCTGCAAAAGGGACCGTTTTGATGCACAATAAAACTTACAGAAAGGAAGGACAGGGGTAGAGAAGGCTGGAGATAGTTGAAAAGCCATACTAAAAGAGGATGGAGCTATAATTAGGACTGGGCAGGAGAGGCAGTATAAGTCTTGTGTGATAGCATTTGGAGGGGACAGGTTCTCTTTATTGACCCTGTCACCTCCAACACAGTTCTGTGCTGGTTCTCCTGTGACAGGAAGGCTGCATTCCCCTGTCACTATTCACACGGAGCCGAGTAGAGAAGCGTTCTCTGCCCTGCTCCCTAACCTAATTTGCTGTAGGATCCCACACAAGAGGAGGGGGACCCCGAAGACCACAGCAAAAAAAGCACGGCGAGAGAGGCAGCCGAGAAAGGTACACGGCGAGCCACCGGAGAGAGAGAGAGAAAGGGTAGGGGGAGCGAGGAAGGGGAGTGAGATTCAGGCAAGTTACAAGTGGTTTTGGACGGCTGTACAGCCGTTCAAAATCACGTGTACGAAACGGCTACCACACTACATTTAGCTGTGCTGCTTGCCCGCAGCCGGGCTAATGTAGAAAAAAAACGACTCGCCCGGCGCCCGAAACTGCCTGGCCCGGGCGTCGGCCGATAGGATTCCACACCCCTGTGACTGGTGTTGCAGACAGGAAATGGGTGCCCTGTGACAGCCTATATTGCAACTTTATGAGACCTGCAAGCAATAAATAGAGAAAACATTGAAAAGGTATGTAGAGATCTAAGCGTTTGCCAGAGATTGGTTTAGCTCAGAGTTTAGGTGTAAACACATGAATGTTTACCATCATGCAATCAACCGAAATGAAACCGTAATTGACTAGTTTAATCCAAAAGCATTATTTCTGTTTCATAAGTCAGAAACCTTGGATGGGGTCGTCTTGTCGTCTTCATCTTTGAAACAGCATCTAAAACAAAAGAAACAGGTTAACCAGCAACTTTATTCTTTTTCAGATTATAAAAAAAAACTGCAGATAAGTCTGCATGTGATTAGATGGGCGATTCTTTGTGTCCTCCACTTAAGAACTATACTATTACCACTTTTGAAGTAAAACCAATACCTTTTGTGTATGAAAGACATCAGCTCACATGTTTGACATGGCCAGGAAGGCCAATCTGACTACCTCTAAGGTGCTCAATCAAAAAGTGCAAAATGAAGTAACCGATATCCAAATAACTCATCCTCCACTAATTGGGCTTTCATTAATATGCAGTCTGATTATTTACTATGCTTAACTGCACTTGGCACACTTCATTGATCTTTGCACGGCTGTACTCGGTAAGCCCAATCATCTATAGCTCAACAGGTAAAAGCACGTTAACCAAATGGCATGCTGTGGCACTAGAACTGCACAAAGCAGGGGACAAATGATGAGACAAGCAGAAAGCCACAGCACTTGAACTGTAAACATTTATGCCTATTTGTATGGGTAGGGTAGTCTAAAGAAATCTGTATTTTTTTTTTTCGAAATAAGAAACTGTTAATTTGGATATACCCATTGTATTTGCAATGTTTCTATATGCTTATCTACACATGCTGTCAAGAATGACCTTGTGAGGAAGGTGAAGATGGTGTCTCAGCAAAGCAGCCGTTGGGAGGCCTTGTCTTGCTTTCCATTTTCCTTTCAGCACCATCAAGAGGAAAAGTGAGAAAACAGCACAAACATTAGTTAATACCACAAGCATAAAAAGAAACACTCTAACACAGATTGAGAGTATGAGAATTAAAAATTTATTTGGTATCATAAAAAGGTGAGAATCGTTGGAAACTATTCAAAGGTGACCTATGTCTCCAAAGACAGCATACATTCTACTTACTGAAACTCAATGGACTTTTCAATCATTAGTGGCATTTCCATTTGATCAGTTATGAATCAAAATAGACATCTTACAAATGGCTACAGATACCTTTTTCACAAAAGACTTTATTATCTAATGATGCATACTGAAAACATACAGATATCTGCATGGGTCACTGTACATGCAGCAGAACAACCTTCACTTTACAATAAGTGAGTCAAATGTTTATGCAAAAAGAACATTTGAAGGCTTAACAAAAAGATTCATTTACAAGAGGAAAAAAAAAAAAAGGTAAAGAAGCAATTACCGCTTATAAAAAGCAGCTGATTTTTTGTTCAAGAGTGGAGAGTTTATTCCTGTATTGAAAGACAACATAATAACAATGAAAACAAAGAACAAAGAAAACACTTGAGATAGACGGTATTGAAGGGAATCCTTTCGCCAGTAATCCCTCCGATTACTGTTCAGTTACAAAAAAGGTACATTTTTCAATACACAGAACCTTTAAAATGCTACGTTTACAGATGTTTAAACATAACAGAATGCAGTACTTTACCTAGACTTTAAACCATCGGTCAACCCACAACTGATAAGTCAGGTCTGTAAATGCTAGGAAACTGAATCTTTCAACATTTTCCTATACCCCTTTGGGCCCCCCGCAATGACATCTTCACTAATGAAGAACCAGAACTGCTTGACAATTGTCTCTCTCCCCCAGGTATTCATTTTATTTATCAAGAGAGCATAGAGCAAAATAGTGCAATGCCTGGAAGCCCTGGGAGCTGAATGAAGCCTTTCATGATTTGGCCCATCACTGTTTCATTATCGAACTAAAATATCAGTTGTGGATTGCAGATTCTATATAAAATGTGTACAACGTGTGATGCTAGTGGACTAAAATAAGGGGAAAAAATCAGGACATATTTATGAACCAGTACACTGAAGGTGCCCCCTTTCCATCAATTGCGCACACTCCACTAGAAAGGAATGGAGAGAAAGTGTGGATTGAAACGACCACAAGTACTGTCCAAATTAAAACATTACCAACTAAAACAAAACCGTAGGTCACCTGTGAAACATGCAGAGGCAGAAAGCTGCCACAATTAGCTACCAAGTTCTCAAGATATATTTACAAAACAACATTTTAAAATACCAACAATGTTAATGGTTTAGCTTACCTTCAGTGTACTGTAAGTTGTACACAACCTGCTTTAAAAGAGGAGACCATCTCTGCAGGCAGGCTCTAGAAGGAACAGGCCCCCCCTTCGGCACAGAATAGACCAAGAGCATGCTGCTGAGGCCTGCGCACACAACCTAGGAAAACGTGAATATAAACAGCATTTATGCTCGTCTTTTCTCAAACCAAAAAAAAAAAAAAAGAAAAAGAGCCATGTCCGCTAAAAATAAAATATTAACATCCAAACATTAAATTGCAACTTTGTTTCCCCAAATATAATAATCAAAGGAAATTGCATTTGTACTCTTGAGTACAGTTCAGCCAATTTACAAGCATTCCTACCGTGGAAAAGTACAGATATCACAATTATAAACAAAATAAAAGGTAAAATAAACTCTTGACTTTGAATCAAACAATTTATGCTTCCTCAACTTTGCAAGGGAAATATTTATATGTTTATATACATTAACAGGCTGCTGTAGGTGGTCTTCAATCCTGGTGTGTGATCTTATCAAATAGTTTCCCACATTTAGATCTTTTCCTGGATAAAAGGGTGTTGAAGTGCTTGATTGATGCTTATTCGTTTCGCCGGATCGAGCATTAGGATCTGATCCAACAAGTCTTTTAGCTGGTGCACTTTTTTACGTTGGTCTTCTGGAAGTCTCTGGCATCCAATTAAATCAACCAACAAGTCCTTTGTTGGGTTAATAGTGCTCATGACTGTAACTTTTTCCTGGAAAGCATGAATAGGTTAGTTAGAAAAATAAAATGAGTGCAGTGAAATAATTGGCATTGCTACAATAAAGTATTTCTGCAAAAAAGTTTTTCTTTGTTTTGGACAGAGTGGGAAAGGGTTAGAAGACTCCTAATTTAAATATGTAAATAATAAAGCGGTTATTATATGGTGCTTTTAAGGTGTCACCATATATCACA